ATAATAATAATAATAATAATAATAATAATAATAATAATAATAAATATAATAATAATAATAATAATAATAATAATAATAATAATAATAATAATAATAATAATAATAATAATAAATATAATAATAATAATAATTATCAACATCATCATCCTGGATAGATGAATCTACATCAGTCGAACATCATCATAATCATCATCATATTATTATTATTATTATTATTATTATTATTATTATTATTATTATTATTATTATTATTATTATTAGTAGTAGTAGTAGTAGTAGTAGTATTACTATTATTATTATGAGATCAGTGTCGCGGCGCCTGTCGGGTAACTTAAAGGGAATGGAAACAATTAAAATCTGTAACTGGGTTGCTGACGGGATCGGAATAGAAACATGCAGTCGCTTGTGATTACACTACAAACTAGAACAGCCGTACTGTCGTTTTTCTGCACCCAACTTATTAATTACAAAAAAAAAAAAAAAAAAAAAAACACTTTACCTGGACGTCAGGATATTATTAGAAATGAATAAAAATATCACGACTAATAAGCACGTCAGAGAAAACAAAAACACCAGCGGTCCCTTCAGTTTCATGATGACGACGTGTTCTAAGCATTATGCGTATTGACGACGCTAAAGTTATCTTAACATGGGCTAACTAACGTATAGTCACTATTGTCTGTGTGACGTCAGTCACAATCGTTTGTATGGTGAATAAAGCAAATTATCACAATCAGTTCAGTTTCAGTTTTCTTTCTTCTTATTAATATTAACACGCATAATATACAGTGGCGGCGCCAGCGTCTGATATCTATGAAGTGGGTGGGGTCGAGGGCTAAGTGGGGGGAAATGTTATATTTTAGTGGGTGGGGAGGAATATTTTTCAATAGCAGATTGTATTATTATTAATCACAACACACGATAAAATGATTATAAAAATTTTACCAAAGCACCTACGATCATTGTCAGAAAGTGCACTTAATAATAATAATAATAATAATAATAATAATAATAATAATAATAATAATAATAATAATGATAATGATAATGATAATGATGATAATAATAATAATAATATACGAGTTCCATTTGCCGGCATTAAGAGGTACCTATTTTTTTTTAAAACGTAGGTGCATAGTCTGATGTATATTTTTCTATTGTTATATTTATATTATTTTTTTACTTTTGGATATATTTTTTTCTGCTTTGTAATACAAACATATTTAGCCCTTTGCTATTGTTTTGTAATATTGTTTTATACCGTAATAAATAAATAAATAAATAAAATAGGAATGCTTACTCGGGGTACTCTTCGAATAGGAAACTTTGCATGCGTTATAGATATTCTCAATTTTATAATCAAATGGGGGTAAAATTTGAAATCCATAAAAACTAAAACAGTAATTGTGAAACATTTTTAATATCAGAGTAGCATATCCTAAAATTTTCCAAAAACATTTCACTCTATTAAAATCATTGGATTGATTTGTTCGATGTAAACACGGAAGGTAGTCCACGAATGTCTAGAAGAATTATTTCCATTAGGGTCCTTCTGGTGGTAATTGGGCAGTACACCGGGAGACAATCCGCTACTCTTTTCCTAAGATTGTACTGCGTTCTTTATCGTGCACATGAGCCATAAATGTACACGGGACCAGCAGCTTATAAGTCTCATCCGAAAGCCCCCTAGCTGGAAAACGAGGCAGTGATGGGAATTGAACCGGGGACCTAGAGATCTCCACGGTTCAGCGCACGCACAGTGGCTAAAATCATGATAATACTTTGAGTGCCATTAAAGTCATAAATATTATTAGGCCTAGAAAGCGTGTGTGTTCAAGGACGAACTATTTCATCAGCCGTTTTTTAACGTTGCAAAGTTGAAAGTAGTTAAAATTTATTTTAGTTTGGTAGTTCGTTCTATGTTTTTGTGGCATGGTACTTTATTAACATTAGTTAATATTTACAAACCATTATTATTGTAGGCCTACTCTGTGTTCCCCATCCTTTGTAATCACTGGGCTATGTAGCGTACGGTATAAGGTGGATTATCCTTGCCATTTCAAATGGCAAGGATAATATCTTTAATATTTTATATAGAGATCTTGTTTCTGGTCTAAGTGCTCTCGAATGTGGCATTGTTATTGCCAAATCAACCTATAATGTGTTCTGTTATGCTGATGACCTCCTACTTCCAATAGAGTGACAGTTCTTCAAAAACTTATCGAACATACCAATGCTTATATATTGTATATTGTTGCCCATGGGCTTAGGTTTAACCCATTAAAAACCAAATGTTCAATTTTTGGTAAAAACACTAACAACTGAACCTTTATGGTATCTTAATGACTGCCTTCATAATAATACGAACGAAATTGAATATCTGGATGTAATTCTATCTGCAAAAAGTACTGGCATATGGCATGTTGAAAAAAAGAATTACAAAATTTCAAAGATCATTTTTCTCCCTTCAGGGTACATCTACAGTAGTTAAAACTTAAATTTGGAAAACTGTTATTGTACCTATCTTAATATTATGGCTCTCAATGTATTAATATTAATTCTGGTTGTATTCAGAAACTTGAAAAAATTCAAAGTAAACTCATCAAGACTTCATGGCATACCCAAATACTCCAGATCGTCTCCGCTGCTGTCGGCTCTTCGTTTGCCAAAGATCTGTGACATTATTAATATTTATCATCTTGACTTAATTTCACAGATTTTTAGAAGCGACTCTAAATCTCGAAAGTTTATTACTAAATTGTAACAGTTCTCAAATACACTGGTTGATAAAATAAAGAAAATCACTCTTTCCAATATGATTTTATTTAAAATGTTATTTGACAGTTGTTACCACAAAAAACTGAAATGTGACCTGAAGTACAATTTTAACGAAGATGGATTATCTGATAGTGTTAAGACAATTTTTCAGAAGTATCCGTTTTTAGAACGTAACGGCAGACACCTTGTATCAGTTTATTACTAAATTGTAACAGTTCACAAATACACTGGTTGATAAAATAAAGAAAATCACTCTTTCCAATATGATTTTATTTAAAATGTTATTTGACAGTTGTTACCACAAAAAACTGATAGGCCTAGTTGTTACCACAAAAAACTGAAATGTGACCTGAAGTACAATTTTAACGAAGATGGATTATCTGATAGTGTTAAGACAATTTTTCAGAAGTATCCGTTTTTAGAACGTAACGGCAGACACCTTGTATCACAACTTTTAAGAGTTAACTTTTAGTTTTTTCCCTTATCTTATAGACATTTTTATATAATTAATCGTTTAATTTGTATATATGCCATTTGTATTTTGATGTGTCTGTTTGATTTTGTGATGTTTTGAATGCATTTTATCTCTCCTTTTCGGAGGTTTTCTGAAATAAATTGAAATTTTGTCACACCATGTTAATATGCCCTTGACTTCAAGAAGCTACTATTTTTTATTATTAAGTTATTTAAAATCATATTCGTAACTTTCAAAAGAAGTTGAATTGCATTGATCTGTACAATACATTAAACAACCAGTCGTCTGTGAAATTACAATATTTATTCCATTCCATTTGCTTCAGTCACGTGGAAAGGAATCATCCACAACAAGCACCATTGCCTTGGCTTTCCCACCGCCGATCCAAAGTCATGCCGCTATATGAATGTCTCTCCACTTTGAAGGTGATATATAGAAAGTCATTCATATTCTTCCAACAGAACAAAGGAACAGCTGCTGTCCATGACGAAACTGTACCCTGGAGGTATAACAACGATTACAGTACGTACTAATCTACTACAAATAATATGGCCTAATTACTTCGTTTCCCTATGCTCCTTCCTTTCCCCTTCTCAATTCTTAACTTTTGCGTGCAATAGTCCGATCCGTCATTCAAACCGCACCGACGCCATGCAAACATCATCGTCATCATCAAAGAAAGCGTCACCCTCATCATTCACTAAGTTAGGGAAAAACCATAAAAAATAAAAATCGAAAATCATTAAGCATACTTTTCAGAATGCAAGAATTGATTGATTGATTGATTGATTGAATTTATTCGATGCTCAACATGCACAGACAATATTAAAAAAAAGAATTCATCCGTGTTGCTCTCATCACCCCCACCCTCCCTCTCTCCCCCTCTCTCTTTTCAGCATGATTAGGCCTGACGTCATCTGGGCGTGGTCTTAAGTTAGGATCACGGCAACTGTTTATGTTTGCGTACAGAAAAATGTTTCTTTTATCAGTGTTGCAGCATTGTCTATGGTGAGTATAGACTAGTCATTCTAAGATATGCCAATAAAAAATACAGTAGTATTGTGTTGGCCACATTTTGTAAAAATCCAAAAAATGGGTAGGTCGGTAGGAAAAGTTTTTCATTTTATTTTATTTATTTTTTTAACTAAAAATTGTTTCAAAATGTTCAAAACTTAAATGCCGACTATCAATTTCAATCATTTATGGGTCGGTCGGGCGTGGTCAACACAATTATTTTGTTTTTATTTGGCCTTAATTTTAATCTTGCTCTCTCTTTTCTAAAGATATTGTAATAGTTATTCAAATGATTTGTGGCATTTAGCAACATCACTGTATGGGTCGTGTACAGGAAAAGTTGTCATACTACAATGTTATCTCATTCTAAAGTATTTTTTTGGAGGTGGGTGTGTGTGGGGGGAGGGGGTATTTTCACATTATTAAATGCATTTTAACCCTTTTTTATTTCCCCAGCGGCCACTGTAATATAATGCCACTGACACAATATACAAAAAAAAAAAAAAAATATAAAAAAAAAAAAAAAAAAAAACATAATACAATGCCATATGCAATATTGAAAACAAGAAGACTACCTAAAAAAATCAATAAACATCATTAATTAATAAAGAAGATTACATTACAAAAGAAAAAAATATTAGTGAAATTTAAAATGATATAAGAGATTTAAAGAATAACCGTTTGTCGCCCTCTATTTTTTCATACTCGCGTTTGCGTTTTGTAGTCCAACTTTTATTTTGTGTTTATGCATTGTAAACATTTAGGCCTGAACATCCCTTGTTGTTTTACCATTAATCGATTTGTAAATTGAAAAATATGAAACAATTATATGACTCGTTTGATAATTCAATGGAAGAAGATGTAGTAGAATACAATTATTATGTATTAATTAGGAATAAAACAAAAATCAAACGTAAAGCACTAATGTCATTATATCTTTACACAGGATATTATAATTATTATGTGGAAATATGCTGTAAACACTACGAAATATATAATTATATGAAAGAAAAATAATGAGTGGTTTCTATACACATTTTAAAAAACATCAATCTCCTTCACTCCCACCACTGGCTCTCGTTTTATGTTTTTCATATGCATTCTAGCCTAGAATGCATATGGTCATTCAAAGTAACATTTAAAGTAACTAAATTTTCTATTACATTATTCTAGATTATTTATCATCAATCTATTATTTTGTATAAGGTTTGCCAAACGTAAATGTAATTTCTTGTTTATTGTACTTTTTGCTTTTACAAGACCAATAAAAATTCTGTATTCTGTAAATTAAAGAGGGGCTTCGAAATCGAGATGGGTTTCATCTCGAGATTAAGCCCACTGGGCTTCGATTTGAGGTTTTACGGTATACCAT